TAATAAGGATGATCCACCAGATACAATAGTAAATTAATTAAAATGAAATATTCCTTGATTCTACACAAGATATAAATATAACTTAATTGGTATGAGATATATTCATTCTATTTCGTTTAAAGTGATAAGGGGATTGGTAGCTTCATTTTCCGACTATGGAATGCGCAGACCTTGTAAGTTATACCGCGGACGGTGACTTAAATCACGATTATCAGGATAGCTGAGCATTTCATCCATCTTGGCTTCAGAATCCTGATTTCCCAGTTTTCACATTCTCTTCAATTTTCCCTCGCATCCCCTAAATTCCCTAGGTCATACTTGCTCTAGAAAAGCTGGAATGGAGTCTTACTTACTTCTGCTTCGAGCATAACACTGATCTCTTTGCTCACGTTATCAATCACTATCATTTTAGTTAAACTTAATCAGTTATGTATTCCATTATGTGCATATTCGTAAGTAAATGGTGTCGTGGACCAACACCTAAAATCATATTAATCCTAATATAGGCGCCTCCATGTTGGCAACCCTGGATCAACTTTTTGAAGCTGAGCCCTTAATCTCATTAAAATTTCACTTAAATTGCATAATGTTCTAAGTGCGTCATTGATACAAACGTCTAATTCTTTCTGACAGCTGGATCCGGAATTCCTTCAAATCTGCCCAAACAATAAGCGAAGTTCTCATTGAATTTTCCCCTTCCAAGCCTCTGTTCATAATATTCAATTAAATAAGGAGTACACGGCTATCTAGGAGTTCCGTTTATTTGCATATTCCATTTATAAGACCAATCTATCGATGTTGTGACTAGTCGGAGCAATTTAGCCCTAATTATCAGAACTTCTATGCCAAAGATTCTTAAGATTCGGTGCTGCCCTTAGGTTCTTATGTTGAAATTCATTTCCGTCTCGCCATAGTACTCTGCTCACAATTCTTGCATTGGATAAATTAAACTCACAATTAATCCATTTGGGTTTAGTTTCATTTTGTAATTAGGACAAGAGTGGAAATTAATGGTTACTACAATGTCAAATTTCTTTCTGAAAGACCTTTTATTGAGAGTCGCATTGGAGCGAATAAACTAAGTCTAAGAACAGCAAATAATCCCAACCCTCTTGATTATTTGATATTTTTAAATTATAAAGTTTAATAAAATCGGGAACTCCAATAATTGTTCATTTCATTGCGGCTAGAGTGAGAAGTAACAGTATACTCTTAAATTCCCCATAAACTTGTTCACATAGATGTTAGCCAGAATATATGAGAATGGTGAGTCCATGGGTAGATCAAATGTGTTCATCATAAGTTAAAAGCCAGTGATGTAAATATATCTTCGGGCATAATGGATATGATAGCCCAAATATAGGAGTTATAGATAACCATGTTGAAAAGAGAAGGATTATCAAGGTCAATAGAGAAAAGCTGATAGAGGCTGAGTGAAGTCGAATGCGCAATGCAGCTACCAATTGATATCAAAACGTCTCAGAGATGGAAGGCAGTTAAGAAAGTGTATAAACCTCATTAGACCCGCTTGAGGGAACGCATTGGAAAAAATAGCAAAAGGAAATGTGAAGCTAGCAAAACTCGCCATATTAAGTTGGGACAAGATATGAAAGTGTAGCTAAATGAACTGAGACTAAGGGTGAGATTGTCTTTCCATATCAAATTTAAGAGCTGAATCTTAATGCTAAGACTGGCGCTTCTTAATGATGATGCTAAGGGAAAACCCCTGGGAACCTGACAATTCGATAGCTTGATACTTGCAAGTATAATGACTGAGGTCACTAGGTCAAATAAAATCTGTAAAGTCTAAAGACTGCGAGTAGACTGGAGGCCACAAATTGATGGACTTCATATCTACGATTGACTTTTTCTCTGTTTATACAAAATTACAGTGAAATAAAATTACGAGGAGTATAAAATGATAGCTACAAGAGTTGATATCAAAAGGCTACCTAGTCGAGTCAAACATCGGCGCACAGTCGTTCACGTCTACTAAATCCACAGGGACTACAGTATAGCCAAACAAAGGCACTGAGGGTGGCTGAGTAGTAGTCTTGTTGCTGGGAAAGGTAAGGCGGAAGGAAATTGAGAGCCAGAAGCGAGGTCGAGTCTCATAATCAAGCTCAGCCGACGAGCCAGGCAGGCCATTTTGGGCGACGACATTTCCTGAAACAGCATCGATTCTAAATGGACTCAAGTCAGGATTAATTTCACCGGTAGTGGCTGCTGAACTGGAGGCAGAGGGAACGATGTGGGTTTGCCAAGGTGCAAAATCAACAGCAACAGCGGTCAGGCGCCATTCACCAAGACCAGTGTACTCTACAGGCGATACGTGACAGACAGCAGCCTGCTGCTTCATGTCGACGAGATTAGACTGATAACAAAAATAGTGACAGTAGTAATTATAGCAATGATTAGTGAGGATGATGATGGATATATATATATGTATATATAGTTAAATGAAGAAATATATGATGATGGAAGGAGGCAGATAGGTTAATTTATAGGTAAACCATCTAGTTAAAAGATATGAAGACGAAGATGTTGTAGCCTCTGGTATGGTCGCAGTCTCCTTTCGATTTATAGAAGTGGGTTGACATCGTTGTGGCAACTTGGTCTTGTTGTCAGGGCGACTTAGTAATACTCACCTAGTCCAATGACGTCTGTCATAGTAGTTGTCATGATTCCCAGCATCAGACAGTGGACTTAGTGCGGAGAATGGCAAAACTCACTGATGATGCCGACTAAACGTTTGAGAATGTACCAAGTCCACTGTCTGATGCTGGGAATCATGACAACTACTATAGTAGACGACTTCGGACTAGGTGCGTTCTACTAAGTCGCCTTGACAATAAGACCAAGTTGTCACAACGAGGTCAACCCACATCTAGATAGACTTTTCATAAATATCAACATTGTTGAAATCAAGTAAATATTAGAAGCAAAGCTTCTTTAGAGATTCAAGTCAGTATAAGCTTGTCTTCAGACTTGCCGTTATACTGTGGTAATCAAGTTATAGATCATAATCAGCAGAAAGATTTGTAAATACTTTGAGAATAAGTGATACTAGTATGTCGTATAAGCCTTCACTATAAAAATGTTGTTAATATAAGCTACAAATAGAATAATAGTAGTAAAAAGAGATCGTATGAAATGAAAGTAGAAATAATTGAAAGTATGAATATAGGGTTAAATACGAATAGATCATTAAAAAACAGTTTTCAGTCTATCGTAAATAATCAAAAGGCACAATTAAATGAAAAACACGATAGACAGACTATGCGAAGGACATTGCAAATGATCAAGCAAATATAAAGGTAAAGTAGAAAATAGTAATAGCACAATTTTAAGAGTTTAAACCAACCTGTGCTGCACATTCTGGACATATTAAGACTTTTTAAGGTCTGTCTCAAGATTAGGTTATTTTGATGAATATGAAGTTATCGAAATATTTACAAAACATGAGTATATATATATATATATATATATGGAAAAGAGAGAGAGAAGGAGAGGGAAATATGGTATATAATGATTGGTTCAAAGGAACAGCAAACAACATAAGAGAGAAGTTGTAGCTTGAGGCTATGAAGAACAATTTTGTTTATTTTTAAAACCATTAAGAAGCGAAAATAGATCCAAAGATTCATCAACTTTCTGCATAGAATCACTAGCTGACCTGATACACACATGTGCGAAGCAACGACAATAGTAGTAAAAAATAAACCTTTATCAAAAATATGCTATTTGTAATGGTTAGGAGAGGAATATAACTTGATTTCTAAAAAGATAAAATAAATACAAAGTAAAAAGACCTAATAATGAAAAAAACAAATGGTAAAAGTATATTGAAAGAATACAATGGATTATCGTATATTAAAATAAGTGCGGAGGGAGAATCAAACCAATAAAAAAGTAAGTTATCGATGTTTAATAATTATATAAAGAATAATAGGATATATAGAGAAAATGAGGGTGAATAAAATGGGAAATATAAGTAATTTAAAGTTTTAATAAGGCCAAGGAAAGCCGATTAAGATATATGAAGCAATTAATACAAATGATATCCTAGACAAAGATGCAGAGTAGCCGTTGAGCAAAACATATAAATCTGAATTTCAATAGAATCTCGAGTCGCTGCAATGATGTGGCGTGTATAAAACACAATGAGTGCCAAATCAATAACAAATTAGGTAAATAGTGAAAAGTAAAATGTAAACAGAATAGACTAAAACGAAGGTATTGCAAAAATGATAATAAAGCTGTCTATTCGGAACATAAAAACTCTTCCGAATGGCATACTTTTGATAAATTAAACAGATAATGGACTAAGTAGTAAAATATAGCAAGATGTGTAAGATGCCCAGAAAACACCATATTCAGATGGTTCTGACAGCAGCAAATAAAAAGCTGCTACCTTATGATAAAGATCTCTATAATAACGAGTACACTAGTATGCCAAAAAGGCCAAAAGTCCGACAAATCTAATAATTCATCTTAGTGCGATCAAGGGGGAAACATTGAAGAAAGGAATGAATAACCAAATAACCTCCCCATACCATAGAACCTAAGTCGGAAGGCGGGAAAAATAGGAATCATTATGATTATGCAAAGTGAATGAAGGGTTAACCCCATGGTATTTATCGGCGTGCTGATATGGCCTGAAAAATATGTTTTCAAGCAAGGCTCAATATAATGAAGGGAAATTGCAACAGTAGGCGTAAAACAAACGTCGAGCTATGCGCGCACTGCAGGCATTTGTTGAAAAGCTAATGGCAAATAGATCACAAATTAATAAAGAATCCTAGAAAAGATAGGCAGTAAATTCCGTAACGAAATGCAGATATTGCACAGATTATAAAAGGTCAATATTGTCAGGGCAATCTGGGGGAAAAGTTAGTTAAATAAAAAGTATTTGCTTATAGATATAAGTGAAATCATTTTTACTGGTTCATTTTCTTTATATCAACTTCGAAAAAATCTAGTTCCCCCATTAAAGTAAAATATAAATTTGAATTACTTTTACTATACATTACAAGGTAAGAGTTAGTCTATCTTAAAGTCACTAGTCATAGTTAGATGGCAAAAATGGTACTATTACAAACAAGACTTCGGATACGTATGGGAATGCATTATGTATAGGTACAGAGCCTGAAAAGTGTATGGTAAAATGGCAAGAAAGCAATACTAGAAGTATTCTTAGGGGTATTTATGATAACTAGAATTGATTGTGAAAGGTCGCATATTCGTAGCTTGATGAGAAAGATCCCGTTATTACTAAATATATAGATGTAAATGAGTAGGGTTTCGAGACTAACAGTAAATCAGTGTAATGAGATGTATTCAGCCTATTTCGTCTAAGGTGAAGAAGGACTGGTAGTAGAATTTTCCCACAATAATATGAGTTGAGCTGACGTTTCCATTGAATTTCACATAG